TCAGCTTTGGGGAGAGGTGGGGAAGTTTGTCAGTCATGGTCCCTGGGGCTCCACCTCTGTACAGGGAGATGTTTCCCAGTGAAGAGAGAGCCTTTCCAAAGTAAGGTCAACTCCAGATGCCAACAGGAAGACAACACCCTCAAATGTCGTTCGTTGACACTGAGCTGAAAGAGTTGAGACATGTCATTAGGGCTAAAATGAAGGGAGGCTGAGAATGGTGAGTTAAGAAAGGGTCACTGTCTTAAAAAGGCAGAGTTGGGGGGAAGAATGTGCCAGGACTCTCCAGGGAGACAGAGAATGCCAAGAGAAGAAGCTCTGTGGCTTTAGTGAGAAACGTTTTATAGGGGAAGGCCAATTCAATAGGCCTACCATAGACTGATAGACTAGCCAGCCCTTTGGCTCAAATTCGAACTCACCAAGAAGCCATATGTTCCATAAGGAAGTTCGCAAACAGTTTGCTGTACAGTTTTATTTGACCTATATGACATTTTTGTGTTTTAATTAATTAGGTTCTGTCACAGATGCTGCTGGTTGTCAACCCAACAGCCATTCTTCCACCCTTTTCCCAAGCAGGCAGAATCCAGAGGGTACAAAGAGATTGAAAACGCCAAATACTGACTCTTCCTGTCCCCCTTATCTTGCTACAAGACCAAACCCTGTTGGGCTTCCTGCCTTTGTGCACGATTAGATGAGGATGTGATCGCCGGAGATGCTGCAGTCATCTTGTGACCATGAAGGAAGTATCACTGATAACACTGAAGACAGTAGAGCAAGAGGCTGGAAAGGGTCTGGGGCCCTTGAGACCACCTACCTTTCAATTTGTTGTCTATAATATTAATAAACCCCTACTGGTTAAGCTGCTCTGTGAGAGAAAGATGGGGCAGTCTGCTTCTGTAAAGAAGACTTGGAAACCCTATGGGGCAGTTCTACTCTGTCCTATAGGGTCGCTATGAGTCGGAATCGACTCAGTGGCAATGGGTTATTGGTTGAGCTGTTTTTAGTTGGGTGTTCTGTTACTTGCATCCTAAAGCATCTCAGTGGAAACAGATGCCAAAGTAAAAATCAAGTGATTTACAAAAAATACAGATTTTTTACTTCTCTTTAAAAAAATAAGAAGATCTCTATATTATTAAATCAATGAAAAGCTTATTATTAACACAGCTTCTTTTCTCTTTACAGTGGAGTCCTGGAACACTTTCCATATCATTGCATTAAGACTCAGTTAGGTCCAGTGGATTGAGTGGATGCTATTTCTGTTTGCTTAGCATTCCAACCCTTGGGGCATTATTCCTCCACTAATTTCCAAGTGGTTCAAATGAGGTTGTCAATCACACCCCAGCCTTTCCTCTAGCCACAGTGATGGGCATATAATACAGGCTAGGCAAATCTTAGTACCTGGTTCCCTTAAAAACAGAGACTGGACAGCTTGCCCACCCCTGGACTAATCAGTTCTTCCTTGGAATTGATGTATGGATGTGAGGTGAGAAACCTTCTCTTCCTCTGGGATTTGTAAGCTGGGATGGTGGAACCTAGAGTTGCTGGTACTCATCATATCCTGGAGAAGAAACAGCTGACACACAGGGAAAAACTAGTTACAGGTGGAGAAATGGCATCATTTGAGCCTCTGGATCCGGTCATGCTGAAGCTAGTCTACTCCTGGTTCTTCTAGTTATACCATAAAAACCAAACCCATTGCTGCCAAGTCAATTCCGACTCATAGCCACCCTGTAGGGCAGAGTAGAACTGCCCCATGGAGTTTCGACGGAGCGCCTGGTGGATTCGAACTGCCGACCTTTTGGTTAGTAGACATAGCTCTTAACCACTATACCACCAGGGTTTCCCTTCTAGTTATATGAGCCAATAAATACTTTTTTTGTCTAACTTAAAAATAAATAAATAAATAAGAAGATCTCACAACACTGGGCTTGTTTTCCTACCTGGCAACAACAACCTGGCACTTGAGAGGCTCAGGACTTTTTCCTGGGTGTGTACTCTTTAGTTCTCCATGGTCCCACCATTCGCCATTAACACTGTCCTGGCCTACCTCATTCACTACATTCCTCTCCTACTCTCTTCAGCTGCTTGATTTTGTGACTTCTGTTCTCTAATATGGACTTTAAGCAGGTTCACTCAGCAAAGGAAGAGAAGTCTTGTAGACCAGAGCATCCAGGCTGGGCTGTGTGTCCTCCTGTAAAGGAAGTACTAAAGACATTCGAGTTGGCAAGTTAGTTTCTTGTCAGTAAGGTGAGAGCGGAAGTCCATTTCCTAGAACCCATTAGTCACCAGGAGAATTGCCATCATCCAGTTTCCAAGCCTGCAGAGCTGAGCAGATTTGTTGTATCACTGTAACCTTCCCTCCCATCATCCTCCAAGACCCCGCTGTTCCCACTCCATGCGGCCATGCACACAAACCAACACCAACCAACCCCCGCCCGTTCCAGTCCTACAGGGTTCAGACTGTGCACAACCAGCTTTGCTGAAGAGTCTGAATTAGTAACCCCTCAGATCCAAAAACAATCAGGGACTGAGGACCAAACCCCCCATTCATGGCCATTTTATCAGTGCATTACGATGTTAACATTTCTTTCACCTTAACAGAGCATGAAATTAAAATACACAGATCCACAAAAATGCGTGCCTTTCTTGAACTGGCTTCTACCATTAATTATGGCTCCTGAGGATCCTGCCATCAGCCTCATGTTATTACGTCCTTTGTAATTTTAATTACGTTTTAATCAAAGCTTTTAATGGCCTGTCTTAGGACTTTCAGTTTAATTATCAGCATTAATAATGCAGTTCTTTTAAACTTTGCACAGTCCTTTTCGGCCCTTTGTCTTTAAATATAAGTATATCGAATTTACATTTCATGGTCCAGAATTTTAAGTCATCATTAACTGAAGCACAACCCTTTCACTTTCTTAAAAACCAAACCAAACTCATTGCAGCCGAATCGATTCTGGCCCACAGAGACCGCATGCGTGGCAGAGGAGAACTGCTCCATAGGGTTTTCATGGCTGTGACCTTTCAGAAGCAGATCACCAGGCTTTTCTTCTGAGGCTCCTCTGGGTGGGTTTGAACCACCAACTTTTCAGCTAATAGTTGGGCGCTTAATCATCTGTGCCAATCAAGCCTTCACCTTCTTACTCCCTATTACTGCACAGCCTGGGAAAAACTAGAGTCGAAGAAGCGTAAGGGCTAGATCAGATGGTTTTCTAACACTAGCAAAGGAGTCTTTTTCTGTATTTTTATTTTTGAAAATTACAGAATTTTTAGTTAAATCAGAATGTTGTTTGATTTTCCAACTTCACATGGATTTTAAATTCTGGATTGAAGCTTGTGTTTTGGGAATTGCTATGACAGCTTTTAAAGTGGAGTCTGTGGGTGGTGCAAACAGTTAAGCACTCAACTACCAGCCGACAGACTGGCGGTTCAAACCCACCCGGGGGCGACTCGGAAGACAGGCCTGGTAATCTGCTAAGCCCTGTGGGGTAGTTCTACTCTGCACACATGGGGTCACCATGAGTCGGAATCAACTCAACAACAACTAAGAACAGCGACGAGCTTTTAAAGTAACTCACACTTGTTTTCTGTTTGCTAATGTACCTACCAGATGTAACTGAAAAAAATCAGTGGTTTGATTTGGATGGAAGTCAATTCAGGCCTTCTGCTCCCCTCCCCCATGGCTCTGTGCCCGAAGGACCATGTTGGAAGGACCATGGTTGCAGAGGGTTGGAAGGACCACGGCTTCAGAGGGTTGGAAGGACCACGGCTTCGGAGGGGTGAAAGCACCATGGCTGCAGAGGGCTGCTCTGGGCTCATTTAAGAAGGTCTGCACGAGGTGGTACATGCACTCCAGGGCTCAGCCCACAGCAGAGAGGGCTGATCAAAGCCATCCTGATGGTTCTAACTGGCACGTGCAGGACAGAGCCACTCAGCAGATGATTTACATGGCCACTTGGGTCTTTCAAAATGCAGTCTGTTACACTAACTGCTGGAAAGTGACATTCGTTTGGACATCAAAGATGCATCACCTCACAGCAGGCTCGGGAATCTGGAGAACCACATGGTGCAGCCGTTCAGAACAGAATGGAGGGAATACTCGCTGCTTTGAAAAGAACGAGCTGGGCAAGGAGCAGCGGGCTGTATACCCAGACGACACAAGGTGTACCGACCAGCCACATTTAAACCTTGCAAAGAGCTGAGCTAGAGTCCAAGCTTTTCTTGGACTTTCAACTGTGCCCTATCACACTGGAACACTTCCCGCCGAGACAGGAATGGGATACAGGCCACCACCTGACAAACCCTTAGGTAGAGTAGAGCCCAGCAAAGCTTGCATCCTAAAGGGGATAAATTCTTACCTGAAGTGCTTCTTTGGACCTTGGACCTGTCACCCAGTAATGTATGTTTTCAAAGGCGTCTGCTGGTGTAGATGATGTAATTTAAAAAACTGTTTGACTCTGGACAGAAGTCAAGCCTTTCCATCCCCTGGCCCCACCCCTGAGATGAACCCCAAGGCACTGGTTTTCCAGTCTGTGACATTAGTCACCATTTCATGCAGAGGGGTCAGAACAGGGAGATACAGGACTCTCTGTGAGGGGCTGGGCTGCAGAACTGGCTCTCAAACCTATGCTGGAAGTGTAGGAAGAAGGACATGGTACCAGAGTCCCAGAGACCCCTGCAGTAACCTCCTCCCCCACCTGCACTCATGGGTCTGTAGTTTCGTTGCATCTGGTGAAGGTCTATGCATGAAGTTACTCAGCTCGTTTCCTAGAGTCAGTGACTCAAAAAGCCCTGGAAATGCAAAGACTGTAGCTCCCAGTTTCAACTCCATTTCAGACATATGCTCTCATAAGCTCATCATGCAGAAAGCTCTCGAGCCTTCGCTTCTAAGCCCAGCACCTGGCATGACGTGCAGACACAGCTGGCTTTGGGCTGGCTTCCCATAGCTGTCTCACCTGTGACATCCACTGCATCCCCAAATGACTGCAGCTGCAGCGGAAGGCCAACACCAAGTCTTTCAGGTGGGAGGTTTTATTATGTTTTACAACCATGAAAACGTAGGAAGGTGGCTGGTACAGCAAACGCTTTAGGGGAGTTGGCCAAGTGACACCCACCCCACACTTGCAGCCTCTTTCCGCTGTCTCCCAGAGAGAGTTCCTGGTGTCCTTCCTTTGCAAACTCAAGAAAGTTGAAAGTAGACATTTAAAGTAGCAGGAACACCGTTGGCAAAATGGAAGCAGAAAGATAACTTTGAAAAAAACTGATGAGAAACACACTACAGAAAACCTTTTCTATGGTGTTATGGTGTCAGGGCGGCAGGTGTACCCGGGGCTAAGTGTCCATTCTCCCAAGATACTAGTCATACGGGGCCTTCGGTGATGCCCTCCAGAGGCATGCTGGGCGCGCTGTCCACCGTGGGCCTCTCGTCCTTCTTCAGCGAGGTTGGGACCCGGAGGCTGACGTACGGTTTATGACAAGCTGTGTTGGCCAGAGGAGGGTAGTGCTGTCTGTAGCAAATGTAAGCGAAAATGAGGCCAATGACGCCACCAACGAAAGAATCTAGGCAGGAAAGAGCAGAATGGCAGAAACGTGAGTATTCATTCAAATGCGGCCAGTTATGTTTTCCAGAAAACTCTTTCCTACCTGCTCCAGTAACTGGTTTCTTATTGTTGTTGTTGTTAGCTGCCCCTGAGTCGGCCCCCGACTCACACTAAGCCCATGCACAACGGAATGAAATGCTGCCTGGTCCTGTGCCAGCCCCATGATTGGTTGAGGATCAGACTACTGTGATCCATAGGGTTCTCACTGGCTGATTTTTCGAAGCAGATCTCTAGGCCTTTCTTCTTAGTCCATTTTTGCCTGGAAGCTCTGCTGAAACCTGTTCAGCATCAGAGCAACATATACTCCTCCAATAACAGATGGGTGGTGGCTGTGCATGAGGTGTATTGGCCTGGAACAGAACCTGGGTCTCCCGCACGGAAAGCAAGAATTCTACTTTTGAACTATCGCTGCCCCCTGATTTGCTTATATTAAAAAAAAAAAAAAAATTACCGTTGAGTTGATTCAGACTCACAGCGATCCTATAGGACAGAGTAGAACTTCCCCATAAGGTTTCCAAGGAGCATCTGGTGGATTCTAATTGCTGACCTTTTGGTTAGCAGCTGAGCTCTTAATCACTGTGCTACCAGGGCTCTGGTTTGCTCATAGGGCCCCAAAAGACTAAAGAATTGAAATCACACTGGAGGTATAGATGCTCAAGGCCCCTGGAAGCTGCCATCATTTCTAGCACTTAAACTTTCCTTTAAGTGCGTGCTTATTCTCTCTCCGCATTACTTCTTTAACTCCCACCTGAGCATTGCATGAACCCACATTTGTGCTCCTGATTTTGAAAATCAATTCTAAATTCTGGAAGAATACAAGCTATTTCCATAGAATCTAAACACGCTCAGGAGCTGTAATTTCTTTCTCTTTAGCAAGTTCCCACTGGATCCCAGTGATTTGACTGGTGAGCCACAAAAACCCAGTGGGCGTGCCAGTCTCTGTCTCATAGTAAGTGGTTTCCCAGGGATGAACTGAACCTTCTGAGCCACAGACAAAGCGAATCAAACATTTTACAATCCACGAGGGTTGGCAACATCCACAGATCTCTGGCCGTGGGGGGGGGGTGCCCAACCCCTCCAAGGGGCTGCAGATCTCATCAGTTTGGGGGGGCAAAAGATGGGGTGAGGTAGGAGGAGGAATCTGCAGGCAAGACAGGCTCCTCCACCACAGAGCAGCCCCTCACCAAATAGGGCATTCAGCTGCAGCCCTATAGATATCCCAGGAAAGTAACCTACCAGAAGAACCCTTAATTAGTACGTCTGTGCTTTAAATTGTGAGCCCTGGCAGCGCAATGGTTAAGAGCTTGGCTGGTAACCAAAAGGTCGGCAGTTTGAATCCACCCGCTACTCCTTGGAGACCCTATGGGGCAGTTCCGCTCTCTGCTATAGGGCTGCTATGAGTTGGAATTGCCTCGATGGCAATGGGTTTGTTCATTTGTTTGTTTGTTTTACAGATTTTCTCACCAAAAAGGTTCTAGCACAACGGAGGACTTCCCCTAACAAAAGAACTGTTGAGCTCTCGATAAGCTTGCTGCTGTGCTGAACCAAAATTCTATTTGGGGGCTCCCGCTTTCACATATATTATCTTGTTGACTCTCATAAACCTCCTCTGGGCAGGTAGCATTGGTCCCATTTTACCAAAGAAACTAAAGCTCAGAGAAGTCAACTGACCACCCCACAGCCCGTGCTGTTCCGTGAGGCTGTGCTTGAATCCTGGCAGGTTCTGGGCTTAACAGCCCCATGACCTTCTGACATTCCAGCCTTCAGAAGGTGGCAGGCTCATGGGCTGAAGGTGTGTCCACCTGGGTTCAGGTGAGGTGCAAAGGTTCTCCTTGACTGATCAGTGTTCATGGTGGCAAGTTTCCAAACACTTCCCAGTAAACAACACACTGTGTAAGGACCTCAGGCTAAGTCACAAGTTAACTCCCTGTGTTGTCAGTGAAATTCTGAGAGGCGGTCAAGGAAACGTATCTTTCTAGGAAACAGTCTAATGTGGAAATATCTGCACTACACTCATCAGCCTTTCTGTGGCCATGTTATAGGTATCTTGGATCTATCTAGATCTAGCAGAATAATTTTTGAGGAAGGGGATAATACTTTCGTATTTCATTATCTCTCATAGAACTGCTTCTACCTTTGGCATTTTTACTAGCTATTAGTAATTTTAAAAGTTCTATAGTAAATAGCTTTAAGTTTAAAAAAATAAGTTTAGTAATTTAGTATATGTAATTTTATTTATATGCAGTAACCAAACAGGTTAAGAAGTATAAATAAAAGAAAAAGCTCTTTTATACCCTTCTGTAATGGCAGCACAAATGATGATTGTGTGTAACCCGAGTGCCCATTCACTGCCCTGATGCCTGGAGCCTGGACACAGCAGCTAATGATGTTTTTTCAAGTGCAAATAGATGAGGTCATTTCCTTGCTCAAACTCCTTCCCACTGCTCTTAGAAAACTGACCAAATCCCCATGGCCCTTAAGACTGCACACCTGGCTCTGTCAACCCTCCCAGCTGTCCTGTGTTCTTTCCTCTCACTCACTCTGCCACAGCCACTGTCCTCCTATCTGTACCTCAAATATGCCCTGTTCTTCCCCTTCCAGGGCACTACACCTGCTGTTCCATCCCTGAGAAACCCTTCCCTTCACCTCCTCCCCTATTCCATATTTACTCATCCTTTGGCGCTCAACTGAACACCAGTGTGTAATGAAATCTCACCTGACCTCCAGACTAGACCAAATCTTCCAGGTACACACTTTGATACCCACCTGCCTGCAATCAGAATGTAAAATCAAGGGCACACTGTGCATCTGTTTAACATTAACATATAACATTTGTTTAACATTTAACATAATATTTAACATTTGATTCTAAACTCCATGAGACAGGGCCTGTACTTGTCTTCTTGGCTGTTGATTCCTCAATAGCTTGAACAACACCCTGCTCACAGCAGAATTAAATTTGTTGAGGGATGTGGATGAATGAATAGGTGCATAGTAATTCAGGGATTAGGTTCTGGTCATTGTCCTGTGTGACCTTGAGCAAGCTCCTTCCCCTCTCTAGGCCACAGCTACCTCGTCAGTAACATAAGGGCACTGACCAAGGACACAGTGGCTAAGATACTTTCTGCTGTTAATTAATGTTCAGGGACTTTGATCCCCAGGGTCAGCCTACTGAGGTCAAGTACTCAGACTGTTAGGAAACTGTGCTAACGCACATTCAGAAAACAGGTCACATCTTTGGTGGAGATAAAACATCACCTAGAAACAAAAGTCATTCCAACTGGCGAAAGGAAGAGACTGGATAATTGTCACTGCTTCCTCCCTATAGAGCTCAAATCTAAATGACTGAAGAACGCAGTGTGACCATGTGCCACCATCTGACAGAAAGGCAAGGAAAACATATTAGTACCAACTCAGCCCTGGGGAGCTGCCATCAAGGCAGGAAGGCAGGAGGATCTGAGAGATGGCAGTGAAACCCAGCCTATAGGCAGCAGACCCATTCCATCTCCCAGTAGTGGAGCCTGGGGCCATGGTAAGGCAGCACCTGCCCCCACCATCCACCCAAGAATCTTCCATTCTGAGGAACCCTCAATCTAAGACACTGCAGCCCCTACCAGGATCAGTCACATCACCTCTCTGAGTCTCTGCTTCCTTACCTCTCAAATGGAGATATCAATCTCCGCTTCACTGAGTTGTGATGATGGTTCGATGATATAGTGCTTCTTAGGAGTATGGCACAAAATAAGAACTTGAAAAATAGTGTCCATCACTGTTATTCGTATTCTGTTCCTCACATCCTGCTCCAGAACTGCTGGGGGCTTTCTGGTCCTTCCCCACACTTCTCCTCACATGATAACTCAGCAGGCAATCTAGAGTTCTAATCTCTTTAGCATCAATGTACAATTGTTACAAATGGGTTGGTTTTTGTAGCATTTTAAATAAACTTCTAATGAATTTAAAAACATTTGTCAAGGAAGAAATGGGAAAGCAATATGTACCATGAATTCTTGAGCAAGGCCATAAGGCATAATTGCTGTGATTAAACAAAGTTCCTCAAATAGGGAAGCTCTTCATGTAGCCTATGGCCATCAGCCTACAAAATGTGCCAGGGCTTTTTCTAGCTCAAGGTCCTAGATTGCAATACTGTTTTGTTTTTCCTGTAATCCCAGGGAACAGCTCCATGGGGCATTATTTTATTAGCATCTAAAATAATCCACAACACCTGCATTTGATCCAATGACTATGGAACAGACCAAACAGCAAAACCTACAAATAACGCCATTCGACTTTCTATTTTCTCTAACACGGCATTTCATTAGGTGGATCATTGACCAAAAGACATCAAACCATTCCAAGTACGTGTTTGCTAGGCTTACTGGTTTAGCAGTATGAAAGGAAATGACAGCTCCTGCAGATGCTGTTTTCCTATTTAATGGAATGAGTGAAACGTGATATCCAGGATGCTGCATTAGTCATCAGAGGTAGCAAGGGCAATGAAACATCTATTCAAGCCACTTTGTCAGCAAAGTCATTGGGGGCATCGTTTATGACAAAGGTGGTGAACGGAATCCAAAAAATGATTTACTTTATGAAGGAGATTGTCATCAAGTGCCTCAAGTAGGCTGTTGTTATTTTGATGAAATCACATTAGAATCCTACGGGACTTGCGCTGACAGAAAAGCAGGTGTGGTCAAGCCGGACTTTATTGGGCAAAAACCAATTGGGATTGACTTCACTGCAAATATGGTAGCATGCAACTGGAGGGCTCCAAAAGAAAACACAGGGATCTCACAGTCCGAGGAATGCAAAATACCGCTGTCTCCTTACTTAGCATCGGGTTCAATGCATGTGTGTTGCACATCTGTCAGGTGTCAGGCACGATGCCAGGTCCTGGGACACACACTGAACAAAACAGACAAGTCCCCGCCATCCCAACAATCTACAGTCTTAAAGGGCAAG